GAAACATGAAATCACCACGTACAAAATATATGCTGAAAATTGAGAATTTTTCTATTCTCTTTTATATTTAAGCGGTTAACTTATTACAATATCTCATGAATACACCACACGACCTAAATGCTATATCAATAGCCTAGATACATGAGATCGGAGTTTTACAGCTGTACTTTATAACAAGATGGTTCTTCATCGTGGAAATCTAATAGAAATAATGGTATGGTTCACCTAATGGAAAACTGCCACTCTAATGACAGTATGTGCCCGACACTCATACTGGCTCTATTTGAATACATGATCTACCTACCTGGTCAGATATTATGTATCTCTGTACCAGTGGCTTCGAGAACGAACTAGAAGATTCTTGTCCACTTCATAATTGTCTAGAAGAGATCGCTTCTAGCCATAAGACCGCCCATTGTACTTGTTGTGTTAAATGTTTTGGATATTATTATTAATATGTGTGCATTCAAGCAGACTCTACTTTACTGTTGGAGATGGTTACTTTGACGGCCCGTTTTTTTTTTCCTCATGAAAGAATATTTTCATACGTATAAACCACATATTTTAACTAAAAGCTTTACTATAAATTTAATATCTGAAAAGATTAACTTATGGAAGTCAATCGTGAACAGTTGTTGAGTACGTATTTTATTAGAAAAATTGGTACTCGCCTGAGATTCGAACACCAGTGCATCGCTCAACACGAATGCACCGGACGTCTTATCCTTTAGGCCACGACGACAAAATAATAATAATACCATATTATTGACATTTCGATGTCATGTCTCAAGGTGGGTGGCGCCATTCACGTTGTCAAGCTATGTACAACCATTTAACACCAGGTGAACTGTTAGATCCTTTATCTAGTCAATAAATAAGTAAACAAAGAAACAGACAAACAAATAAATAAACACATAAAGAAACAATAAAAAAATAAAATATTAGTGAAACCTCAACACCTCTGTGCGGTTCTGTTCAATAAAACGCTTTTCAAATTTCATCCAGTCACCTATCAAATGGCTGATGTTTTTAAATGATTTTATTATATCTATATTTAAAAAAATGAATTGCTGTTCGTTAGTCTCGCTAAAACTCGAGAACGGCTGGACCGATTTGGCTAATTTTGGTTTTGAATTATTCGTGGAAGTCCAGAGAAGGTTTAAAAGGTAGATAAGTATGAAAATGCTCGGAATTAAATAAAAATAACAATGTTGTTTTTCCTTTGATGTGTCCCTCGTCGGACGCATTCCTTTTGTTTGTTTTAAGTTTATTTTAAACAAAAGTTTAGGTATTTTATTTATTGATTGAGGCACTACGAAGTCTGCCGGGTCAGCTAGTAATAATATATAGTTATGAAATTAAATAAGAAAGAATACACAAACAAAATACTTTACGACTCGCATTTATTAAGGTACAGATGGCCAATTGTTCATACTGCATACCTACAATGTAAGTAAATATACTATACAAAATGATTTCGCTTAAAAAATAACATATACATTTAATATGTACAAAAAATATGGACACTTGAATGCAAAAGTGCTTTGCAATAAAACAAAGGTCAGGTGAATTGAACATAAAAAAAAATTCAATATTTTATTTAATTTTTAAACAACAACTTAAGCATTTCAGAAAAAGTGTTGAGGTAATCGAATTTATTCTGTCACGTGTTATAATCATCTTGTTTACTTTAATCCAAATTCTTATTATTCAGATATTTTAATAAAAATTTTATCCTAATTAAGAAAACATGAATTCCTCGTATTTACATTTTTGTATAAAAGGAGGGAAAATTAACATAAAATCGAATAATAAATCAGAGTCTAGATACATTTGAGATGTAACTAAATATCACAAAAACACATGAGAATAAAATAGACCTAATCCATTTTTATAGATTATATTATTGATCACCATTTTTATAAAAATTAAAAGATACACAAATTTCATGTAAAACTATATTAATAAACGTTCATTTACTAAATTAATTCTAATCATTTTGAAATCATCATTTTAAAAACTTATCATTATCATAATACTAAAAAAATTAATAATTCAGTCACAATTACATAAACAATTGTATATTTTAAGTAATTAAATTGTCTTATTAATACAACATGTAATTCCTAATGCTATCATTAAAGCTTCTTTGATTTTAAGGTGTCACTTAAAGTAGGAATGTCCAAGATATTATTACATTTAAATCGCACTCTAAGTAATGGTTTCTTACCTAAGTATTCGGTGTGAACTTATATATAAATTGAGTTTTCGAGTGAGGAAAACTATGCTGTTGTTGTATTGAAAACGATATTAGTTATTATCGAAAAATCAACATCTAGGAAATGTAGTATTTTTTTATTGCTTAGATGGGCGGACGATTTCACAGCCCACTTGGTGTTAAGTGGTTACTGGAACCCATAGACATATACGATGTAAACGCGCCACCCACCTTGAGATATCAGTTCTAAGGTCTCAGTATAGTTGGAAAAATGTAATAAATACTTATAATTGTTTCAAGATCCGAAAGCAATAATAAGTTACATTTTTCAGAAATCCTGTATTGGTATAAGTGGAGATGGAGATCGTAAGCCTCAAGATGCCAGTGCCTGCCTTAACTGTCTTTTCTGCGGCGAAAGCATTCATACGTCCCGGTCTGAAGGATAAGATCTCATTTCAAAATCTCTTTTATTGTTTTTAATAGATGCGTTCAGTTTCGACGGACAGATAAGATAGTTTTGGTAAACAATAAATTATGTACCACAGAGAATTTAACTGAAAATTATAATACATTTAACGCTTAGATTTCCGTTTTTTTGTTTTTTGTTTCTCAAACACTTCAAAACAATTTAAAGTGTCGGATAATAAATTTGACAGCATCATAAAAATGAGAATAAGACTCAGAAAAACACACAGTATTATATTCAATTAATTCAATGATAAAATCTTGAGTATTTCATTGTGAATGTTTCGTGAATAACAAATGTGGTCGTGATAATATAAACTTTGTTTAATTAATATTTCTCAAGTGAACATTTGAATCTATGATTGATCAGCCATCTTGTGCCATATATGATAGGAAGAGAAAGTCAGACTTCNGAGAATAAGACTCAGAAAAACACACAGTATTATATTCAATTAATTCAATGATAAAATCTTGAGTATTTCATTGTGAATGTTTCGTGAATAACAAATGTGGTCGTGATAATATAAACTTTGTTTAATTAATATTTCTCAAGTGAACATTTGAATCTATGATTGATCAGCCATCTTGTGCCATATATGATAGGAAGAGAAAGTCAGACTTCGGTTATACAATTGGAGCTTCGACCTCAAGCCTCAAGGGAGCCTCATGTCTCAATGGGGTGGCGGTATTTATGCCACTCTGCTAGTTTGAGAACGGGTTATTACTTAACACCAAATCAGCCATAAAGTTGTCGGCTTTTAAAAAAGGATACTCTTCCTACTACGGAAAGAATAAAATATCTTTTCCTACCGGTAGGAAGTTTGAATGTGTTAGTATCATTCTAACTTGTATATTAAAAATAGTATTATAATAATATTTAATTTTTCTTTTACGCATAAGTAATAAACGCAGTCTCACAAAAATAAGATCATACAAACAACTGTACCTCAATGTTGTACGGAAACACATTACAAATTGTATTCGTGATATTTAATATAGACAAAAAATCTTTTAAAGAACATTAAACACAGAAATCTTATCATTTCTGTTACAATATTAGATATTTTTTCTAAATAGCAATAAAAAGAAGTATAGTTTTATGATCACTAAACAAACGTAGTGTGTATAAATATTTTAGTGCTATCGGTAATGATTTGTTATAATTATCGGTTTTAAAATATATTGGGTTTTTTTCAATCGTATGCTATGTATACCAATATAAGATACATTTACTTTATTTCTTTAGTTTAATAAAACAAGATTTATACTTCTCGGTCTTATAAAGGATGGGGACGGTATCGCGTGAAACCGAACCAGGTTTATTTATAATAATGAATTGTTCCAAAGCTGTACACGAAGTGCTTTTGTGTCTATGATAGATTTTAAGCAAAGTTTTGTTCTTGTTAATAAATAACAACTTTGGAAAAATTGTTTTTGAGCCAAAGGTATCCTATCCTATATCCTATGCCCGCAAAATTTAATAACACTCATTTCTCACACTAACTTTATTCCTTAGATGGGTGGACGCGCTCACAGCCCACCTGGTGTTAAGTGGTTATTGGAGCCCATAGACATCTACAACGTAAATGCTGCCACCACCCACCTTGAGATATAAGGTTATATGTAGTTACAACGGCTGCCCCACCCTTCAAACCGAAACGCATTACTGTGTCACGGCAGAAATAGGCAGGGCGGTGGTACCTACCCGCGCGGACTCACGAGAGATCCTGCCACCAGTAAAAATGAATGTTGTAGTTGTGAGTTTATTTTTAACACAACATTTGTAACTAATTTATTTGTTTTTGTAATAGAATTATGTGAATAGGCAATTTAGTTTCACATAAGCCTCGTGCAGCAAAAAAACATAAAAACCTTACGTTAGATTTTAATTTTCTTAAAAAAAATCTTCAATGTTTCGACACATCTCACAATGTTGTGGAGTAAAAAAGTAAATTACGTATTATTGGAACAATGACGTCATACTATAAATCTTATAACTACCCATAACTTCTGTATCGAAGTAGTTATATATAGAGAGCCAATGTCAAATGAAAAGCCGCCATCAGTAGAACTACAATACGTTGATTCTCTATCTTAAATTAACAAAATTATTAGATGTCCAGAAAATTGAAATCTTTAGCCACTGGTAAAATTGCATTATGAACATTTATAACATAAAAACATCCATTATCATTCAAATTAGAAGCTGTATTGAGGGCGGCTTTCATAATTTTATTTTCAAATATATACTGAATTACATATATGAGAGACGAGAGACTCGACGTTCCATAGAGAAGAATCTTCATTGTTTTTTTTATTTTATTATACAGAATTTTGGTCAAGGAATCGATACTCGCAAATCATTAGTGAGCTTAGTGCGAGTTTTTTAACGTTCTCGATAGCGTGAAAGTTAACATTTGTATGCTGTTGCAACAGCGCCCCTAGCGGCAAACGTGACCAAACGTTCCAACTCTATTCAAATTATAGTTAACTTATACGCTATCGAGAACGTTAAAAAACTCGCACTAAGTACACAGATATATCAGTCAAAGCTTCATCCCGCGGAGTAGGAAGAGGTAGGGTTGTTCAATGGTAGTGCGATAGCTTCCCGGGTCGTCTTGGCGGCGCGGTGTCGTACTCGTAGTAGTTGGACTGCGGGCGCGCTCCCCCCTCCCTACAGGAGCGCTGAGAGTGGTAACCACCCCCGGCGCGACGACTTCAGAACAACAAAAAAAATATTCTAAAATTAGTTAAAAATCACATAAAAGTAGCATTTTTGACGTAATACAAATAGAGCACAACGCTTTTTAATACGCTTTTATTAGGTTCAGACGTATGTATGTTTGTAACAGAATCTTTAAACATGATTTTGACCCCCTCCAAAACGGCGAAATAAATTCGTCGAAATTTGGTATACTTACTAAGGACCGATGACAATTCAATATTTAAAACAAATATTGAAAAATTGAAATTCAATTAAAAAATGAAAAATAAATAATAATTTAAAAAAACTAATAAAATACGCTTTTAGGGTATTATCAAAATAATCCTTCTACTCATATATGTTCATAAAATATTTATAACTACTTATACCATGCACCCCACGCTTTTTTACAATACAATCATTTTTTCTTACACTATTTTTAATTCAAATTCATTAAAATTTCTTTTTTATTTTTTAGTTGCTTTTTCTATAAAGAGAATTTTGTTAGTTTTTTTGAAATATTATTTTATTGTTATATTGATGCAAGAATTTTCGATGTCCCAATCACATTGGAATGACTGCTGTCCCGCGCTTCAAATTAAAAGGCATTTCCGACAGAAACAGGCAGGGCTATGGATAATTTAATAATTGAAGACATAATGAGAAAACGCGCAACAAACTTTTGTTACTTGTACGTTTACTTCGTAAATAGCTCCATCTCAAGCAATTTCTAAAAATAGGCCTTTAAACGAAGACATTAAGGTCTAATATGGTTTATAGACACATAACACCTTCATTCAATGTAAAAATTCAAAAATCTTAAAAATGGTACTTAACCCCTTCATCCACTCACATCTTCAATTTACTGTTCTTACTAGTAATTATTACTGAATATTTGAATAGTTGATATTTATTTTGCACGGGAAATATCTCGAGGCAATATTATTTTCGGTTTCTAAATCTATGCAAAAAAAATTTTTAACAACCCAATCGTTCGAGCCACGTGGTTTACCTGATACACGTCTAGTAACATTTGTAGGTCAACTATATAAATAAATGAAAAATCCTCGGTTAATTGAAAAACACAACAATTTACATTATAGTGCCTAGGATAAGCGGGATTATTTTTTATGTATCTAATATTGTCAATGGTTAGAAAAATGCCCACTTCAGACGTAATATAGTCTGTGTTTATCATTTAATGATAGTTTGGATACTCTGTGCCGTGACTACGAATAAAACGTAATATTTTCAGTCACTAAATTAGCTTTAACTAGTCTTACAAAACACATGCTTCTTACCAGAACGATGTGATCGGAGCAAGAACAAACATTATTATTATTTTAATAAAATGAGCATTAATCTTATTTATTCATAGTAATGTTGATATTACAGTTGTACAAATAAAATAATTAAATTGATATACTTCTCTAATTTATTCGCTGGCATAAAAAATAATTACTAACAAAAACGAATAGTATCTTTGTTAATATTCAGTAAAGGCAACACTGATGTGTTTGTAACCCCCAAAACAATTGTGAGTTGAAATATTAGAAAATATTAGATATTCACCTTTCCTCTTCAGCCTTGGCTCTTTGTGATTGGACTTGCCTCCTCATCTGACCGATCTGAACTTCACTGAGTTTCTCGCGTCGAGCACTAGAATATTCATCAGTACTAAATTTTGACTAAGTTATTGTATTTTAATATTTAATCGTTTTAGTTTTATATTGTTATTGAAACTCACTTGAGGTTTTGTTGTATCTCTTCGTAGTTTACGTAATGACCCGTGGGACCCCAGGCGCTTTCCATAGCCTGTGTTGCCAGTAATTAAAAATATTATTTCCCGAGCACATTTGATGATGCTTTGAATCTGAAGACGGCATGTGTACTTTTTAGTGGTCAGGTAGCAAAAAATATGACGTCACAATCATAGGATGTATGAAAGGACGTATTTTTTTTACTGATGAGTGGACGAGCTTACTGCCCACCTGGTGTTAAGTGGTTAACGGAGCCCATATACATCTACAACGTAAATGCCGCCACCTTAGACATGAGTTCTAAGATCTGAGTGTAGTTACAACGGCTGGCCCACCCTTTAAACCGAAACGCATTACTGCTTCACGGCAGAAATAGGCAGGGTGGTGGTACCTACCCGTGCGGACTCACAAGAGGTCCCGCCACCAGTAAAGAATGAATAGTGTTGATCGTTGTTACCTGTTGTTGTTGGGTTACAGTGCGGTGCGGCGGCGCGCGGTAGGGGGGCGCGGGGGCGACGGGGGGCGCGGGGTGGCGACGCTGGTTTCGGTCCCCGCTGCCGCTGCTCTGCCGCGAATGAGACGTCTCCGTCCTAGAGCTGTACACAACAGTCTGGACGTTAGAGGTTTGAAGTCAGTGTGCTTAGTGCGAGTTTTTAACGTTCTCGATAGCGTAAAAATTAGCTTATATTTGTATGGAATTGGATCGTTTGTGTGCGTTTGCCGTTAGGGTGCTGTTTCAGCTGCACACTAAATTGATTTAACTTTTACGCAATTGAGAACGTTAAGAAACTCGCTAACTTAGCACACAGATAATTTTTTTGTCACTTCAGAAAGAGTTGGTTTTATTACACTATTTGTGCGCAATTTCGTCAATAGTACTAATACTTCATAATAAAATGTAACTGGGACGGTGCACCCATTGAACTATGTTAAAGAAAATTAAATAACAAAAAAAACGGTGCAACTTATTACACGTGAATGAAGTGAAACTTCTTTTTCGATGTGTAGTATTATGGTTTTCTTCATTTTTCATCCTTAAATCAGATTGCTCTTGTAATAGGGAATGCTGTGTATAACAGACATTTTCAACATTTATATTGTATATTTTTTAAATTATAGGTAGAAAAATAAATATATATTTTTTTTCAAATACTTCATTAAAATATTGGACGCTACACGTTGCTAACGCTCACGCTGGCCTATAACAGGTATACTACGCGCATACGTTCGAGTGCCACGCATTTACTCTAGCTCTGTCTCTTTCTAGTATGTTAGCGTTTAATGTTTAACGCAACCTTGTTGGAGGTCGCATTAGAAGTTTAACTTCAATATTACGTTTGTTGTTGCGTGTTGTCTTCAGGCCGCTCGTCGAGTCGGTTGTGTCGGTCGAGCGCGTCCCTAGAGAGCGACTTCTCGGAGGCGCGGCCGGGCTGCGAGCGCCCGCACTCGCCTTCAGTCTTCTTGTGGGGCTTCCCTATTCTGCGACACGAATAAAATGTGGACATCAGTCATATATGGCGGTAGGACCTCTTGTGAGTCCGCACGGGTAGGTACCACCACTCTGCCTATTTCTGCCGTGAAGCAGTAATGCGTTTCGGTTTGAAGGGTAGGACAGCCGTTGTAACTTATAGGTACTGAGACTTTAGAACTTATATCTCAAGGTGGGTGGCGCATTTACATTGTAGATGTCTATGGGCTCCAGTTACCACTTGACACCAGGTGGGCTGTGAGCGCGTCCACCCATATAAGAATTAAAAAAAATATGAGAGTATTTTGCTTATCATTTAGACGTCTGATAGATTTGCGATGCAGGCGCTCACTAAGAACGCATTTTATGTAAATCGTATCCAGAATATACTTGTCGCGCATGTACCAATCAGAAAAATGTTTGTGCACTTATTTAACGTTTTATATATGTAACAAGTTTACCATGGCAACTTTTGCTTAGCGTGAGGGAAGAATATAATATTATATTGACGGGTTGATAACTCCAAAAAAAAGAGGGAGAGAAAGAGGGGCAAAGACTAATATTTTAACGTACGAACATTTTAATAGATCACATATTAAAAATCTTTAGTCCCTGAAAATGAAAAGATAAACAATGGAAACGTTACAATAATATATTTAGTTTAAATTTAAAACGCATGTTGCCTATTGTATTATTACCTTATTTGAACCCTTTTTTGAATTAGAGAAAACGGTCTGCGTATTGGAATAAATAATTCAGTTACTCAAATTGTAAACGGTTTAAGAGCTCAAGTGTACCTACATCAAAAAGTTACAGCGATCTTCAGTTGTAATTTAAATAGGTGAAGTATATTTTTTTTCTATATTTTGCAAAGCTTTAATAATATTAGTCTCTGCTGCACATTACACGAAAATCCATGTTAATTTCTTAGTTTCTCTAAAGTTCAAGTAGTGAATTAGATTTTCACGATTACATTAGTATAAAACAAACCTGAACATTGTCGATAAGGACTTGAGTAGCGACGGTTTCTTGTGCGACAGTGAAGATTGTTGAGGCGATCCTCTGATGATTTCCGGGCCGGCGTTGTCGTCAGTCAACCAGTGCTTTAACGCTGTAATCAAATTCACTATAAACACGAAAGGTCATTCACAATACTGTTATGATTAACCACAGTCGGACGTATTGAATAGACCTATGTATAAAGTAAACGAAATTAAGGTCCGTTAACGGTGGCCGGGACACTTGGTCAGAGGAAAAGAAAAATGGAACAAAATAACTACACATTGGTACCCAAGGGAAGGCAAGAGGAAAAGAGGCAGGCAACAAAAAAGATGGGACGTTGATATCAGGCAGGTTGCGGGCATAACATGGAGTAGAGTAGCCAGAGAGAGATCAGAATGGAGTAGGCCTTTTAGAGGAGGCCTTTGCCAACTGGCAAACGGACTTACAGAAAGTAAAGAAGCACCAAATACGTGCAGTAGTATAAGAAACTTAATCGTATATCTGTTGTCCGAATAAAAGGCTTTATTATTATTATGTATAAAGTAAACGAAATTAAGGTCCGTTTTTAATCGTAAATACCAGAAAACTTCAAACGCAGACTTTCAATTTGTCTGTCTGTTTTCGTACATAGCAGGTCTTCATAATTAAAAATTTCTGCTGTTCGAAAAACCGCGTCGGAGCCCCTTTTAAGAGAACTCAACTTTTTCCCTACCTATTCGATGGTAGCCTAAAAGGCTATTCCCCCTACGCCCTGACGGGTAGGTGAGCTCACGGACTCAACCTGAGAGAATTAGCTAACACTAGCTCTAACAAGAGCAGTACTTCGCGGAATCTACCACCGAATCGGAATCGCGACCGAGAAACTCATTGGGCTGTATGTGTCTATTGGGTTAGTTCGCTTGTCGAACTCTTCGTCGTAATCGACGAGCTTAACTCAACTGAGTAGTCGAGGTGATGTCCGTGGGCAGCGTGGGCCCGTCTCTCCTCACACGCTTGCCCGCTAAGCTGTTTTAGAAATTAATACTTACGTGGGTGCGCTCGCGCATAAATAGGTTCATTTCTGGGATTCCTTTGGTTTTCTTGTATAGCTATCTGGAGCGATTCCAAGCTGGAAGACTTCCTCATGCCGAGTGCGGGACCAACTTGCATTGCTGTTTTAAACAATCATCTTGTTATCAAACTACATGTATTATGGTAAAGATAATTTAGAAATGAGTCGACTATTATCAAAGCCGGCAATCTGACTTTTGGACAATTATTGGTAAATCAGAAAAACGAATTATTGACTTTGTATTCCATTGGCAGTCACAAAACTCTTCTGAACGACATCTTAGATAAATAACAGGTTAAGTATTAACCTTTATTTAATGCAGGTTTTGAACCGTATTCTTTGAAGGAGACGATTATATTCANTGACTTTGTATTCCATTGGCAGTCACAAAACTCTTCTGAACGACATCTTAGATAAATAACAGGTTAAGTATTAACCTTTATTTAATGCAGGTTTTGAACCGTATTCTTTGAAGGAGACGATTATATTCAAATCAATCTGTATTGACATATCAATAACATTTTTTTGTCCAAATGCACAGATTGTCACCTTTGATAATAGACGACTCAAATATAACATTTATTATAAGTTCATTTATTCTCATCTCATTTAATGTATTTCACTTTCATATTAATTTCATTTATTTTTATATAACACCTGACAGAGACGTAAAATGGCTTACCAATATCTGCAATAAAATCCTGCGTACCATTTGACAGTGATTTTAGGCCGTTGCTCATGTACATCAGCAGTGTCAGAATTATAACAAAGCCGTGCTTCACAGAAGCTACCACCGGATAGGGAACGTGACCCACTGAGAAGATCCGGCGAGAAACTCAGTGGGCAAATTGAATAGTAGTTATAGCTTGAACTCACAATGGATGGCCTTGATTTCTTTGATCTTCTTGTATGTGCCAGTCTGCTTGGCGTCCATGGCGGCGTGTCGCTTCTCGGACATGGAGCGGCGCCCCACGGCGTCCCGACTGAAGCCGGCCGCGGCTCCGCACTCGCTGCCGGACTCGCCGCCGCCGCTGCCCCTGCACGCACAACACACACCGAGGAATTAAAGCACTATCTAATCACAAACTTAACAAAACATAGACTATTTATTTCCCAATATACATACTCGTAATCCATATATTAATACGTGAAGCAAAAACTTTGTACCCCTTTTTAAGAAAATTGCGCGGACGGAAGAGTATGAAATTTCCCACATTTATAGAGAATATAGGGAAGGAGTGCAGAATGTTAAATATTTTTTTTAAATTACGCATTAATAAATCAATAAAAAAACATTACACACACTACTACCCGATGATATGTAGGCGAAGTAAAATGTCCCTTAGAAATAAGGTGACACTCTACAAAACTTGCATACGCCCCGTCATGACCTATGCAAGTGTAGTGTTCGCTCACGCGGCCCGCATACACTTAAAATCCTTTCAAATTATTCAATCCCGTTTTTGCAGGATAGCCGTCGGAGCCCCGTGGTTCGTCAGGAACGTCGACCTCCATGACGACCTGGACTTAGAGTCCATCAGTAAGTATCTGCAGTCGGCGTCCATGCGCCACTTCGATAAAGCGGCACGACACGAGAACCCTCTCATCGTGGCCGCCGGTAACTACATTCCCGATCCTGCGGACAGAATGGAAAGCAGTCGACGTCGCCCTAAACACGTCATCTCGGATCCTCCTGATCCACTAACGGTGCTTTTAGGTACTTCAAGCACCGGTCACCGTTCTCGTCGAACCCGTCGCTTGCGACGAAGGGCTCGACGAGTAAATTAACTCTCAGACACAGCCCACTGAGTTTCTCGCCGGATCTTCTCAGTGGGTCGCGTTTCCGATCCGGTGGTAGATTCTGCGAAGCACGACTCTTGCTAGGGTTCGTGTTAGCAACATCGTCAGGTTTGAGCCCCGTGAGCTCACCTACTAAAGTTA